TAGTTATCAATATAAAAGAAGTTTTTAAACTCCAGCTTGTAAAATATTCTTTGTAATTGAATTTTGAAAGAGCCCCTTGCCCCCTCCCCCCCTGAAAATTGCATTTAATTGTTTTATGTCTAAATTTTCACAAGTAAATTTTAGTGGTCTGGTGAATTCCTTTATTATTTGCTGCAGGAGCTTGGAAAATAGGATGGAAACCTGCTAGAAAGCTGCATTGTGTCCTTAAAGTGGGGTTTAACACTGGTTTTCAAGACAGGAACTTATAGGGTGCCCTGAGTGATTTAATGGAAATGGTCTTCGACAGTGATTTTAAAGACTGTGTGTTTGGGGACTGAGAGGTGACTGATAAGTGTGTGTGATCTGCATATACCAATTTCTTTTATCAATTGAATACAAATTGAAGACAAAAGGATAGTCAATTCAGAGGTGATCTGGTAGGATTTTGTTGCACCCTCCCTCCCCACAAATACTGGGCTTCTTACCTAGAGATAGCGGGCTAATTCCGAACTCTGTTATAATCAGTGATGTTCATCCCTTTGCTGCAGAAAGGTTTGCGAGTCTACTCTGTGGGGACAGGATAAACAGGGCATCTCACACAGTAACCCACTGCTTTTTGAGACTGTGTATAGGTACTGTTGTGACCAATTAAAGGCTGAGGAGTTAAAAACCGCGCACTGTGACAAAATGGGAGGAACCACTCACTGTCTTTGCCTCACTTCTCTGAGTGATCACTTCCCTTTAGTTCAGCCTTTGCTGCTGCTGTTCTGGGGAGCAAGTGACTCAAGGTGTTTATCGTTTGCATGGTTATTTCCCCCCGCCCCCATCTTTTTACCTATATCTTATTTATGTCTTTTTAAAAAAAATAGGTTTCCTATAGACTGCATGTTGGGTTTTGCATGTTTAGGTAATCTCAATCTCTCAATGTCTTTTATAGGGTTTGTTGTGTATTTTCTGTTCTAGGTGTTTTCTGGGGGTTTTTTTTGTATATTTTTATTCAATGATCATGAACTGAGTAAGGATCCTGTCCTAGGCCTTGTGTTGGGGCTGCTGACACAGACAAGGAGCTCACAAACTAGTTGGGAGAGACTGACGCTAAGTAAATGCAGCAACAGAGTGAGGTGGCTGCTAAGGAAGAAGTGTAGACTAGAAACCTTAGGGGAACAAGGAGATGTGGGGAGAAAGAGGGCCGTCAGGATATTATTGAGGGAAAGGTGGGCGAAGAAGAGTGTTAGAGGCAGAGTGCTCAGTGTGAACAAAGACGTGTGTGTCTGGTAGGTGCCAGGGTTTAGGAAACTGCAAGTAATTCAGTGTGACTGGGCTGTGGGGGATTAAGCCCTGCTAAGAAGGTTGGAATTTGTCCTAAAGGCCTCAGACAGTACCTGATGGGGTAGATAGTAGGAGCCAAAGCTGTTTTTTCCCCATTGGAAGTCTGTCTCCCACCCCTGACTTGCCCCCATCTCCTGCATCGAGTCCTATTGCAGGTACCAATTTTATTTTTCTCAGAATTCATGTAACTACTTAGACAAGAACTATGTTGGGGCGTTCCATTTTCAGGTCTTCTGGATCTTTGCTGATTTTATTTTATTTTATTTATTTATTTTTCATTAAATCTTTATTTTTTTGGAGGGGAAGGAGGGTGACGGGAAAGGCAGGGTGTGCTCTGGGGAGGGGAAGTGCACTGTCAATCTTTATTGTGGAAAGTATTACATGTGTCCCCCTTTTTCCCCATTGACCCCTTCTAGCCCACCCCCGCCTGCTGATTTTATGTGTACTTGTTCTACTGATGATTGAGAGAGGTGTGTTGAAGTTTCCAACTATAGTTTCGGATTTGTCTATTTCTCCATTCAGATCTATCAGTTTTTGCTTCATGTATTTTGAAGCTGTGTTGTTGGAAGAGATATATATTTAGAATTGACTTCTTGGTGAATTGACCTCTTTGTCATTATGTAATACCCCTCTTTATCCCTAGCAATATTTCTTATTCTGAAGTCTATTTTGTCTCATGTTCATATACCTACTCCACGTTTCTTTTGATTAGCGTTTGCATGGTTATTTCCCCCTCACCCCCATCTTTTTACCTGTAACTTATTTATGTCTTTTTAAAAAAAAATAGGTTTCCTATAGACTGCATGTTGGGTTTTGCATTTTTAGGTAATCTCTCAATGTCTGTCTTTTAATTGGTATGTTTGGATTATTTACATTTCATGTTATTTTTTTATAGGGTTGGATTAGAATCTGCTGCCTTGCTAGTTTTCTGTTTTCTATTAGTTCCTTATGTTCTATGTTTCTTTTTTCTGCCTACTTTTGGATTGGGCACTTTTATGATCTGTTTTATCTCCACTGTTGCCTTATTATTTATACCTCTTTTTTTTAAATTGGTTGTCCTAGTTTTACAATGTATATCTTTAATTACTCACAGTCTGCTTTAATTACATTGCATAATTTCACAGATAAAACCCTAACAGTATAACTCTCAATTCTTCCTCCTTATCTTTGTACTGTTGTTGTCATACATTTTGCTTTTACATGTGCTGTAAGTCCACAGTACATTACTACTATTTTTGCTTATATTCTAGAGCAATGAAAAATAAACAACAAAAAAGTATTTTAAAATATTTACCTCAGACCAATTGATATTTCCCTACCACTCTTGGAGGCTCTATTCTGTTTTATTTTTTTCACTTTTCCCCCATTTGGACTCTTGTGGTTTTCATTTCTTTGCTGATACCTCAGGCCAATTGATATTTCCCTACAACTCTTGGAGGCTCTATTCTGTTTTATTTTTTTTCACTTTTTTCCCATTTGGACTCTTGTGGTTTTCATTTCTTTGCTGAGATTTCGCATCTGTTCTTGAATGCTGTCCAGTTTTCCTATGAGATCGTTTATGTATTAATTGTTAACCTACAAATAAAAGGCCAATGTGAGAGGCAACAAACATTTGAGACCTAAAACAATAGCACTGGTTCAGGCAGAGAGGATTAGGAGGTGAAGGCAGAGAGAGAGAGAGGGAAGGGGAATGATGACATGAAAAGGAGGGAGTTTTTGTGGGTGTAAATAAGCTAAGGAAGGAATTTCCATAGGTGCAGATAAGCTAACAATAGAAATTTAAAGTCTTTAAATTTCAGGCCTCCGGCCCAAAGGTTATTTTAGCCAGTCTTAACATTCCAGAAGTTTGAAAAGTAAGATATGCAAGGCAGTTCTTCTGGGATGGGAGTTCCTCCTCCATGTCAGAGTGACTTTGCTTGTATTATTTTTCACATAGTCATAGTTATTTTCATTTCCCTGTAGGTAATTTCAATATCTGAGTCATCTCTAAGTCTTATCCTATTGACTACTTTGCCTCTTGATAGTGGGTTGTTCCTCTTGTTTTATTCTGTGTGTTGTATGTTGTTTGTTATCGATTGCCAGGTGTAGGTACATAGCATTAATTCTGGGCCACGAGCACCCCTCTTCTTTGACTAGGCTGTTCGTGTAGAGGTTTGAGTTGGTTGGGAGGGGAGTTGTGTTTGGGTTTTGTTGTTGCTGTGGTTTTCTTTTGTGTATCAAAGGCTTGGGGTCAGGTTTGCTGGAGGGAGGGTGTTTCCTGTGTTTTTGCTCCCCGTTGAGCTTTAAGCCTTTCTGCACCTGTGCCCGAGGCTCAGCCGACCACAGTAGTCTTGTTGCTGGGTACTTGCTACAATTGTTTTGGTTCAGCCTCGCCTTAGGCAGGCCCTGTTTCCCTGGCTCTGGGCTCGGATGGATCTTTCTGGGTGACCCCACTCCTCCCCCAGAGGTAGGACACCTCTAATGCTCTACCTCTGGATCCAAATTTTCTGCCTCAGCTGTTTTGGTGGTGACAGTCTGCTGCCTTCTCCCCAGGTGTTTCATATTTTTATCTTTATTTGATTTTTTTGGGCTGCCTCCTGTATGTCCCCTACTGGGGAGCTAGCCCGAAACTCAGGCTTGTGCCCTGACCGGGAATTGAACCGGTGACCACTTGGTTCATGGGTTGATGCTCAACCACTGAGCCACACCAGGCTTGTGCCCTGACCGGGAATTGAACCGGTGACCTCTTGGTTCATGGGTTGATGCTCAACCACTGAGCCACACCGACTGGGCAAGATTTTTCTTCTTTAGAGAAGGGACCAGGTAGACCTTTGTATTTTTCACAGAGTAGTGACTGCTTTCTTCAGACTAGTACTGCTGCAAGGCTTTCTCTGGTCTCCTCTCTAGTATTTCTTATGAGCCTCCATCAAGGTCTGTGGAGAAAAACCTCTGAGCTGTAACCTTCCTATATAATAAAAGCGTAGTATGCAAATTGTCCCCTCGACCGAGAGTTCATCCAGGAGTTCTACCAGGGGGCAGGGCTGGCTGGGGGAAGGGAGGGAGGCCCTGGCCGGCCGGCAGCTGGCAGCCACAGGAGACCCTACCCTGCTGGTAATCTAGTAAGTTTTCCTGAATTCTGTGAGCTACTCTAGCAAATTAATTGAACTCAAGGAGGGGGTAGTAGGAACCCCCAACTTACAGCCAGTCAGTGAAAAGCACTGGTAACCACCTGGACATCTGAAGTGCTAGTAGGGGCAGGTTTGTGGGACTGAGCCCTTAACCTGTGGAATCTGATACTATCTTTGGGTAGATAGCGTCAGAATTGAGTGAAATTGTAGGACACCAGTCGGTGTTGCGGAATTGCTTGATGTGTGGAAAACCCACACAGAAGTCCAAATAGAGTACCCAGCTGGGGCTGACGGGACAGGAGGAGGCTGGCGTGGTCACTGGAGCCAGTTCTGCTTCCGTGTCCAGTTGGGTGAAAAGGCAGCCCAGGTCTCTCTGCACCTGACTCGTGAGACTATAGGCTCCTCGGCTGTTTCCTTGTTTTGTTTGCATGCCTGGACTCACCTGACAGACGCGTGAAAACAAATAAGTTTCCAATTGCCTGCATAGGGAAATCTGCAGGCGTGGTGCCAGGAGTGAAAGTGGTGCCTCCTCTAAGCAGCCAGGCCTCGTCTACGCAGAGGTAGACTGGCTCACCTCCTCTGGGAGTGGGGGAGGGTTTACTAATGCCCCAGAGGAGCGTGTTATTTTTTCTTTTTTTTTAAAAAAAAATATATTTTTATTGATTTCAGAGAGGAAAGAGAGAGAGAGAGAGAGAGAGAGAGAGAAGCATCAATGATGAGAGAGACTCATTGAGGAATGGAACCCTGAGCGCCCCACACTGGGGATTCGAGCCCACAACCCAGGCATGTGCCCTGACCAGGAATGGAACTGTCAGCTCCTGGTTCATAGATTGATGCTCAATCACGGAGCCACGCCAGCCGGGCCAGAGGAGTTTTTTCCACCTGGGCTCAGGTCTGTGGTCTGACGGGGGACTGGGATCGGTGAGGCAGGAGGTTTGGGTGAGGCTGTGGAGATTGGAGTTTTGCCTGAGAACTGCTCACTCTTGAAGGCCCTGATTCCCTTGCGCTGAGCTCAGTGAGGCAAGGCTCTGGCACATCCATTTCGTCGAGCAGATGAGAGGCTTCTGGGAAGCGGATGTGCTGATTCATTCATTCTTTGTTTGAGATGCCATTCTTATCCATGGAAGTTATCTCCATGCCTGTGAAGGACTGATTCCTGGGTGGGAAATACATGGCCTACAGGATTCCTCTCTCTGGAAGGTGAGTCAGGAATAGGGAATCTGAATTCCTGACTCCAGGGCACAGGCATTGAGGGAGGGAGAAGGCCATGCTGAGTGCAGGATCAGGAAGGTGCCGTCTTCCTCGGACAGATTCTGGGTCCTTCATAGGTAGGTTGGTGTAGAATCCAACGTCCTTGAGGTTTCTGGACTGGCCCAACTCTAATCCAAAGGTGGTATTGCGTGCACACAAGCGTGTGTGCGTGTGTGTGTGTGTGTGTGTGTGTGTGTGTGTGTTCCATCTCCCTTTAGGCTGTCTTCCAAAACCAGATCTGTGGATAAGAGGAACCTTATAGCTTTGATTGGGTGTCAAGACTTCTGGATCCTATTCTGGGAGACTCTCTTGGTAGACTCAGATGGTAGTGAGGGGCATGCTGAGGAGAAAAGCAAGTAAGCCCATAGCAGATGAGCTCCACGTTAGAATGCCCCCTGAATATTCTTTCTCCATCTGGTCTTATTATGTTACCCCTCTCGGAGCACTCTGGAAAAAGAAAGGTGTTGAATGGGCACGGAGCCATGGAGGAAGTAAGGTGGGTATTTTGGAAAGAGCAGCATCTCCTTGGTCCAGTCTCTGCAATAGTGATGTGCCCTTGTCTGAGCATCTTCCTGGCCCTTCCCACCACATGCTCATGTTCTCTGCCCGCCTGGCAGCAGCTGCAGACTTTTCCACATGTGGCTGGAGGCTGCAGAAGTCCCTGTTGTGCTGGGGTGGAGGTGAGTGGGCAGGATTACCTGGGGATGGACAGTGCGAAGCCTTTCTCTCAGGCTGGCTGGGCTGTGAACCTGGTGCCGGGACTCTGGGTCTTCCCCACAGGGCAGGTTTGCAGGTCTTAAGCTGCAAAAACTACGTCTCAGGAGAATCTGTGCTATGGATAAACCTAATGCCAGCCTACCCAGGGCGTCAAGCCAGGTACCTCATGTTGGAAGTCGCCTTCCTATCTTGCCTGATCGCTTCTGGTATCTTTCTTGGGAGCAGTTTCCACTTATTTCCCCGAGTCCCGTGGTGGAAACAGACAGGCTCATTGATTTTAGGTCTGTGTATGAGGCGTGCTGTTCCCACATAAGAGGTGGGCAGGGACATCTGCCTGCCTGGCAGGTCTAAACTAGCGCCTCCCCAGCCCCTGCCTTAGACTGACATACTTATACCCTTTGCCAGGCTGTCGTCCACACCGGTGTGAAAGGAGCTATTTGCCATGGAAGCCCGGGAGAGCACGGCGTCCACCTATCAGTTCATGTCCGAGGCCAACCAGCCCAGGGAGGAAGATGATAGCATGGCACCTCGAGGGACCACAGAAACTATGCAGCTGAAGAAGGAGATCTCTCTGCTGAATGGGGTCAGCCTGGTGGTGGGCAACATGATCGGCTCAGGAATTTTTGTCTCACCCAAGGGCGTTCTGGTACACACGGCTTCCTACGGGTTGTCGCTGGTCATATGGGCCATTGGCGGGCTTTTCTCTGTTGTGGGTGCCCTTTGCTATGCAGAACTGGGGACCACCATCACCAAATCTGGGGCCAGCTATGCTTATATTCTAGAGGCCTTTGGGGGCTTCATTGCCTTCATCCGCCTGTGGGCCTCCCTGCTAATCGTTGAGCCCACCAGTCAGGCCATCATCGCTATCACCTTTGCCAACTACATCATCCAGCCCTCCTTTCCCACCTGTGATCCCCCTTACCTGGCCTGCCGTCTCCTCGCTGCTGCTTGCATATGTAAGTCTGGGGGCTCTGGGGGAGTATGGGTGGGGGTTGGCGGTTACTTTAATGATGCTAATAGTACCTTCTATTGAACAGCAGATTTTGCTTGTTGGGAGGAAAAGAGGTATTATGCCTCTTCAAGAAGTAATTTCTTTTTTTGGAAAAAAATTATTTAAATATATTTTTATTGTCCTAACCGGTATGGCTCAGTGGATAGAGCCATCGGCCTGCGGGCTGAAGGATCCCAGGTTTGATTCCGGTCAAGGGCATGTACCTTGGTTGCAGGCACATCCCCAGTAGGGGGTGTGCAGGAGGCAGCTGATCGATGTTTCTAGCTCTCTATCCCTCTCCCTTCCTCTCTGTAAAAAAATCAATACAATATATTTAAATAAATATATATTTTTTTATTGATTTCAGAGAGGAAGGGAGAGGGAGAGAAACATCAATGATGAGAGAGAATGCATTGATCAGCCCCCTGCACGCCCCCTACTATGGGTCGAGTCCGCAACCTGGGCATGTGCCCTGACCGGGAATCGAACCGTGACCTTCTAGTTCATAGGACAGTGCTCAGCTACTGAGCCATGCCGGCGGGGCTCAAGAAGTAATTTCACCAAAGTCATTTGGTCCTGAGATAAGGGCACAGGGTGGGGTGGGAGAAGTTTAAATTTGTTTGTGGCTGTGAATGCCTCACATTCCTTCCACTCTCGGCTGTCCCTGAGTTCTGTTCCCCAGTCTGTGACGGGTCGGTGCATGTCTTACTAGTGTATTTGTCTTGTAGGTGTTTTGATTGGAATCGATATCACTAGTTATAACTTAACCCGGAAAAAAGACATAAGTGGTGAGGCCTTGATTATGCTGCAAAAAAAAAAAATATGTTATTTTGCTTCCCAGCTTTTTATCTTAAACCAGTTTAGAGGCATCCGTGAGGAGATCGCTTCTCTAGATGGTGGGTGATCCCTCAGGCCCGCAGGCCCACAGGGCCGCTTCTGGCTGCCTCTGTCACAGCCGGTTCTAAGCAGCAGGCTCCGCACCAAAACGGCTTTCCCCGCTGGTGTTTCAGATTTCTTTACACTGATCTGTAAACCAGTCCTGCCTGGGGCCAGTGAGAGGCAGGTGGGTGGCTTCTACCCTGTATTTGGGTTTTTGAGGAAAGAACCTAAGAGATCTCAGCGGATCCCTCTTTCTTTTTCATTTTTCTCTCCTAAGGTGGTAAGGAGGGATTCTGTGTGAAGTCACCGAAAGGGAAAGAGGTGACGGTGAATTTCCCCAGTCCTGTAGAGCTCCTGTGTTTTCTTTAGCTGCGAAGTGGCCCAGAATTCCCCCCTGTGTTCCTTAGCATTGTGTTGCCAGAGGCACTTAATTATACTGTGTTCTTTCCATATCTCTGCTTGCAAAAGTTCTGGCAGTATATGTAATTTATCCTCCGTGTTAAAAATAGACCGAGAGCACCGGATTATAAAGGATTGTACCGTACACGGTGCCTCCTAACATGAAGGCATTTGTTACAGACAAAAGTTAAAGGGAACCCCTCCACAGGTACCCCAGGGAGGGGGGAGGGCGGGTACTCAGTTATATATCTGATAGGATTTGGCCAGGGGGACGTTGGCCCGACTGAGCTCTCTAACAAAGGGAATGGTTTTTTTTATTATAAAACATATTCATCAAGGAGAAAATTAACTTAGCCTCAAATCATCCCTTAATCTACCACCAAGAGTTGAGGACTTTTTTTTGTTTGTTAATCCTCACCCGAGGATATTTTTTCCATTGATTTTTAGAGAGAGTGGAAGGGAGGGGGAGAGACAGAAAGAGAGAGAAACATTGGTTGCCTCCCGCACGTGCCCAGACCTGGCTGGGGATCGAACCTGCAACCCAGGTATGTGTCCTTGACTGGGAATCGAACCAGAGACCCTTTGTTCCACAGGCTGGCACTCTAACCACTGAGCAACACCAGCTAGGGCGGTAGTTCTTGAGGTCCACAGGTCCCCTCTCCGGCCAGGTGCCCAGCATTGTAAGCATAGGTGCCCAGTACTTGATTTGACTGCAGAAGTGTATGTTTCTGGCTTAGTTATTGTCAGTACATTTATCTCTGTGGGATCCTGCTTTTTCTGTAGCTGCACACACATCATTGGTGAGTATTTTCTGTGCCGGTTTCAGCATGGAAGTCAGTTCAGCACTGACATAGAGGCATCAAAGCAGAGGCCTCCTCACAGTTGAGACTCCATTGCCCCTGAGGGTTTGCTTGGCCAGGCCAACAGTGAGGAGGAGGAGGAGGAGG